TCTGGAGAGAAGACACCAACACGATCCCAAACGCTGAACGTTCAGATAGTATTTTTTGATGGAAGCTGATGATCATAACCATCATCTCATACTTAAAAGATTACAAATAAATGTAGTGTAAATGAGATGAGGTTTCTCCCTCCCTCCCTCCCTCCCTCCTTTTCCCAAACAACACAGTCAGCAGAAGCAGATAAGCTGCCAGAAGAGAGCAAAGCTCAAGGAAGTAGCAATTGGCCTAGTTAATGTTCAGCCATGCTATGCCATGCCAAGGAGACTAATGACTGCTGAAAGTGCCCATAAGCCAGAAATTCTTAAGCACTTACCTCCTTGAAAAATCCCTTCAGTTTCAATCTGTAGTGTGCATGAAATCTGATGAAGCACATCACTGAATGCATGCTTCCAAAATATCCCCTTTTCTCCAATAGTGTACAGTAGAGTTTCTCAACCTTGGCAACTTGAAGATGTGTGGACTTCAACTCCCAGAATTCCCCAGCTAGGCTGGGTTCCACAATAACTTTCCTAAAGTGTCATAAAGCCACAGAGGCCAATGGCACTAACTTCTCTTCAGTCTAACACTACTTAACATTTCTCCCGAAACCATTTTTCTTCTAACACTCACCAAAAGGCACAGGCAAAAGTGTCAATTAAAAATTAAAAATGTGGAATTATTATTTACTTTTCAAAACCAGCATCATAAATTTGAGCAGAAGAATTTGGATTGGATTCACAGGAGTTCCTTTCTTTTTAAAGCAATCCTCTGCTATTTGAGGTGGTCTGGTCTGAATAGTTTTGAAAAATTCAAGCAGCTGTAAAAAGGCTTCCTTCAGTCCTGCCCAGAATGTTCCATCAACTTAGCCTTACTATCATCCTGCATGAACACAGCTGAGAATTGCAGGGACAAAGACAAAATCACTTTGCTAAACCACAAGAAACTTTGAGACATTTTGAGATTATATTTTTAAAGAATTGCATACATTGAAGTTTCTGAAGCTTGGAATATTTGATTTCCTTATAGCAACAGAGCTGAAATCTCTTGTGATTTGGAATTATATATATTTTTTTCCCAGAGATATGAGGCTGCCTATTTAGAATCAGACAATTGCCTTATCACATTCAAAACTGCCTACTTCGAAAGGAAACAGATATCTGTCAGAGATATTTTACTTTCCCTTGGCACCTAATGATAATTTAATTTTAAAATGTTAACATTGAAATCATGCCCTTCCAAAATTAGATATCTAGAGGAAAATGTTATATTTTTCATACAGATTTTTTTTAAAGCTAACTTTCTGAAACAGAAGGTGATAAATCCAGCTGATTGCAATCTCAATACACTTTCACAAGTATCATCAAGAACAGCTTTTTGTATTTATATTTAACTTGTAGCAAGAATAATGTGATCGCTAATAGGGAAAGCAGCCATTTCATTTTCTCTTCCTACTGAGAGGCATGCATTATTGTTTGCCACAAAATAAACACAGAATGTAAACTGTCTCCTAAGAGGCTTAAATGAAAGGTGTAAACATGAGAAAACATTAACATGTGAACATGCTTATTATGGGCTACATGGACTGCAGAGATCACAAGTATCCTTGGCAAGAATGTTAGAACCTCCCTTTCATATCCCCCATTCTGTATGTAAAGAAAACTTCCTTGGGATGAAAAGCAGAGTCTTTTCTCCTTGGCAAGTTGACAGACTATGTGCCCTATGTTTTGTCTTCCAAATTAGCTACCAATGCTACAAAGCAAGCATTCAGTTTAGAGAGAAACATGGAGTGCCTCTTTCTCTCATCTAAGCATGAAGGGATTCCAGAATAGACCTTGGCAGGGCCCCCATTTCTCATGCTCCCAGCTGCTAGCAATTTAGCTACAGTGGGAGAAATGAGAGAACCTCTCTCTTGAATTGTATGAGCACAAAATTTTAAACTGAAAATCTAAATATTTCTATCTCCCCCCCAAGCTATTATTGGCTTCTGTTCTCCTAAAGTAGCATTTTAGCAATGTGTAATTATGCCCAACAACATTTTACTTTGGAATGGACTTTGTAGTATAAGATTCAGGTTCTACTACATATTGTAGTATATGGCTCTGATTACTTGTCTGATTATCTCAGCAATTTTTTCTTGCAAAAAAAGTTATAATACTGAATTTTCAGATGATGGAAAAATATTGTTTCTCCCAGAAATTATTCAGACTTCCAGAAAGTAGTGAGTATTTACTCTCATCTCAGTGTATTTAATTGTGCCATTAATTGTAGCTCTTGCTTTCAAGTAAGTGATGGGTTTAGTGCAGGGGTGTCAAACTGCCGTCCCACAGGCCGGTTTCATCATATCGAAGCCGCGCCCACATCATTGCCGGCAATGCAAAAAGAGTCGTGATACATCGCGACACGTCATGTGATGTGGCGAGTTTGACACCTGTGGTTTAGTGCATTGGCAGCCAACTGAAAATCCACTGAAGTCACGCACATATTTGCATTCGCACACATACACATACATATCTAAGCAGATACAATTTTAAAATGTAGAAAAATAGAAGGACTGCATAAATGGATGCTTTAGGCCAAAGCACCCACAATATAATAGCAATAACACTTAGACTTATATAGCGCACCATAGTGCTTTACAGCACTCTCTGGGCAGTTTACAGTATCAACGTTTTGTCCCCAACAATCTGGGTCCTCATTTTACTGACCTTGGAAGGATGGAAGCCTGAGTCAACCTTGAGCCCGTCAGGATCGAACTCCTGGCTGTGGTCAGAATTAGCCTGCAATACTGCATTCTCACCACTGTGCAACCAGGGCTCTTGCAGTAAGGCCAGAATTATGATATATACATGATATCATTATGCACTTGTGTCCAGATATCAGGTATGAGGAAAGTAGTAAATTGTCAGGTATGTGTTGTCATCCCACCTCCTGCCCTAAAGAGATAGCTTTATCTCTCAATTTTTTTAAAAAAAACCTGTTACTTTGAATGAAATTGAAGTAACATAAAATAAGGAAATTGTTCTTTTTAAAATTCAGTGAAAAAAGTTAATTGTAGCACTGTAGAAATGTTATAGTTGGAAGCTCACAAAGTAATTTTCAGCATCCAGACTTGAATGAAAGGTAATTCAGGCGCATTATTTCCTATACAAGAAATCTTCATTATATTAAATTGGGCATATCCAACCAGCAATTGAAGACAACAAGTATACTTATATAATGTTGCCTGATATGGTTAGCAGTTCTCTGAAGCAATTACAAATCCTCAAACAGCCGTATCTGCCTCCTATCCCAATTCCCTTCTCTTAAAAGACTCTGGTGTCATCCAATTGCAAGCATTATAGAAATATTGTATAATTTTGTAATTTCAATCCTAAAACCAGAATCCAAGACTCTACCAAAGAAAATATTTGTGTAGTTTCTCAGACAGTACATCACATTAAAATAGATATCTCACAAGCTTCTTTAGAAGTCTGTTTGAAATATAAACAGAAATCTTTATATTAAATACGGACTGAATATTAGCCAATGGCATAGAACTGGCCCTGTAACATTACTGGAATTCGTTGGCTAGTGATCCTTATGAATTTATTTGCATATAAAATTATTGTGCCTCTTGCAATAAACAGATCTGATGAAGCAAAATTTAATGGTTAATGACTAAGGATTCTCAATCTAAAGCTTGCAATGCCTGTTAATCACCTGCTCTTACATTCTTAATAGAACTACAACTATGTTTTAGCAAAGAAAATTAAAGTGACTGCAAGGATAGAGGAAGTATGAGTAGGAAGTGACAAGCCAGCAAAATTGAATGTACTCTTGCTCTGCACACAGCTCCTATTATAAATGGTCCTGACTCCCAAGCAGCTGGAAAGATAGAGAATCAGCACTGGAGAAATAGTTGAGCATTGACTCCAATATATTAATTGTCCCCTGAAATCTCCCCAGCAATCACATATACACAGGCTATATAAGATACATTGAGGTGGGGATGGGATTGAGGAAAAATACTGACTTTTCTTTGAATAGTACATTTTAGTTCAATGAGGAAAACTACTGACTGTATACACCGGCATCTCAGGCAAAAAATACATAAATATAAAGTAAGTGATATGGGGAATCTACTTCAAAATGCACTGGGGATTGCTTTTGTAAATAACTTTGAGAGAGTATTGTGAGTATCAGAACAGTAGGAAACACAATGAAAGTGCATAACGTTTCTCTGCTTGTCAATTTCTTGCTCCAAATCCATATATTCCAAATTGATTCCGCATTAACTTTGTAGGATACAGAATTAGGATGTTATAAAGAGAAAATCATGGGGGGGAAAGAACAATGAAACATTAAGTATCCATCTCCCCAGCATGTCTTCTGCTACATTTCAATCCTCCCGAAAGCTGTTTGCTAATTTACAGAAAAAGTGTACAACATATCCTTCATTACATGGAGTTGCACATAATATGTAGCTTGGCTTTCGGTTCTATGGCTCAATGCCCCTCAAATGTATTGAACTTGTTTTGGCTGCTAATACTCTCAGTGTAAGTCCAATATTTGTTCTACCGTCCACCAAGTAAGGATTAGGAATGGTGTTACTACTTGCAATTGTGTGTTATTACCTTTGGGATGAGATATTAACCCTACATTAGTTTTAAAAAATAACTTTGGCTCCTTCCTTACAATTCGCATATAGTGAATGTTATGACCGAAACACAGCAGACGTTTACCTGAAATCCCTTATTAAAAATCAGGTTGTCACTGTAGAACAGTGAAGATCTTATTTTCCCAGTTCATCCAGTGTGAAGAAAATCTTATGCAAAACTTGAATTTTGATCAATTGGGCTTTAGCGGTGGATGATTGATAGGATTCTATTCTACCTTTGTGAACATTCTTCAAGTTCTCCCGTGCTTCCTCAAGAAGATCCTGGCACATAGTTTATATACCATTGCCTTGTATTATAAATTCAAGAACACAGGGAATGAACAACAAAAAAGACAAAAGATTTTATAGATCTACCTTGTTCGAGTCTTTTCATCTGCTGAATCTGATCAACCGTTTTTTTTAGAATCTTGCATTTGTCTGGTTTGACACTCAGGCTGTCAATCTCTCCAATATTGGCTGAAAGCAGTTCTGCCAGCTCTTCTAAGTATTTGTTCTCTTGCTCCCTGCGTCGTTTCTCATTGCTGTTAGAGAAAATCAATTCATAGTTACTGAATTCTCCATAATCAAAATCTATGTATGGTTTATTCAGAAATAATTCAAAAGCCGAACCAATAATAAATCAAACCAAATATTTGAGTTCCTTGAATACTTGGGCGTTTTTGTGAACACATCCTAAGCACCCATAAACTCACTGAAATCCAATCTGTTTCAACATTAGAACAGGTATGGATGTGGAGGGAGGGACCATTGAGGAGACAGATGACACAAGATGAAGAGTGAAGCTGACTAAGCAGAGGTAAGAGCATTAGAGCTTATCTTGTGGTGATAAGAGTGGTGCAGTGAGCTCATTTCTTCATCTTAATGCATCTGCAGAAAGCCAGCTGGTGGCCTCATTTCAGGTGACTAGGTCTCTTTTGATAAGGAAGGGTTGTGGGAATCCTTATAGGTTCCCTGTGAGGAATACTGTTGGCATTTGTTTGATAGAATCACTTGGCTTTGCTTGAACTTGGACTCCAGATATACAGATCCTATAGAGATGCCTAAGACGTGTCTGAACTCAGTCATCTAGAGAAAGTTTAAATAGATCATTCCTGAGAAAGTAGAGAAGATCCTTATTGCTGTATTTTTACCTCTGGCCCAGAAGATGTGGGGATCTGGTTGAGGAGGAACCCAACTCTGACTCAACCCTGGAAAGACAGAGTAGCTTTGGGTTTTTAGTTCCCCATCCCATAATCTGGAGACGCATCATCTTTGATTTTTGAGGGAACAGGGAGAGGTGGTGTGCAATTCTAGGGTTCTCCTGAATTTATGACCCTATTTGGTTGCAGGGGGGCTTTGCACAGAAGCATCTCATGTGCCAACTGTACCTGTTGCTGGACTAGGAGGCCTGCTGACAGTCAGTCATTGTAGTCACTGCCTATTTGGATAATAACATGCTTGAAGGCCATCCAGAAATTACAACTGGTCCAGAATGCAGCAGTGTGCACAGTTTCAAGTGCCCCATTTCTCCATATGACACCACTGCTGCACCAGCACAATGGCTTCCAGTTTTTTTCTGGTAGTCACCTGAAAAGACCTGAATAGCAGAGGCAGGTTATTTGTGGGGTCACTTCTCCCTGAAAATATCTGCCAATTGTGTCTAGAAGGCTTCTAACAGGTGGCTTTTCCATCAAGCACTGAATTAGTGTGAGGCTGGAGCCCAGCAAAGGTGATTGTTAATGTATTCGGAAATTTTGTTTTTGGAAATATTTTTTTTTATTTTTTGTGATGTTCAAGTTGTTATTAGTCTGCACCATCAAGCAAAATCAATGGGGAAGTCATCAGAAGGTCGTGATCAAGTGACATCTCATTTAATGACCCAGGGGTCCACGGTTAATGATGGAACTGCAGAATTACAGTCGTTATGTGGTGTGAACATGTGACATCACAATTTATGACCATATCTCTTAACAATGGCAATTCTGGTCCCAACTGCCATCATTATTTGAGGACTACCTGTATATTTTCAATTTCTCACTGTTTGTATCATCTTACCAAATATTTTTAATGCATTAACTTTTATGACATATGGTATTTTTGTGATTAACTATCGGTGGTAATGTTTAGGTCAGCTCTTAAAATTGCTTTATCAGAAATATCAAATATTATTTTCTCATACAAAGAAATACACGAAGGAAGACTATATTTTGTTAACTGCTGAGGTATTTAATAGGAAGGGGAAAGCAGAAAAGGTCATGGTAGGATGGAGTTGATGAGAACCTCAAAAAAGAGAAACTTAAAGCAGAAAATGAAATCTATGCAGTTTGGATAGAACTAAAGAAGGGTAGAAGGAGAAGGACAGGTACAGTAGCTACTGTTGATTTAAAATTAGGTTGAGTCATATTTCCTTTTCTTTCCTTTTACTGTAAGTCACACCTTTAATTTATTTGGCTTGCATACTCTCTTTCTGCACTTTGCTTACTCTGGAATAGTGCGATAGTATGTATGTATTTCTCTTTTGAACTGTCCTAATTCCTTCCTTTTTACACATAACTTATCTGAGGTGTGCGTTCTGTCATTAAGGCAGAAAAAAATCCAACTTATTGAATTAAAAGGAGTTCAATGAGGGCAAAAAGCAATTGGTAAGTTGCTACTGGGGATAAAATGTGATGGCAGCATGCCAACAAACAGAGTTAATAAACTAAAAGACAAAAATGAATTAAGAAAGATAATCAATCTCCTTGCAATAGCAATCACTTCATAAACAAAACTGAAATGTAGCCAACAGATCATAAAATCAAGCCACGGAAGAACAACTAACTATTATTTAGTTGCAAAAAGCCAGTTCTACAGTTTGTAATGTTTCCCCCCCCAAACTTAAAAAAATGAATAGCTAACAGTTGTAAGCTGCTTAACAGGTCCTTTCCCAAGATTTCTGTTATTGATCAGACTCCTATTTTTGCTCCATTTGTAACACCTTCACAGCTGGGAATACAGAACCTAAACAGAACCACTCTTCCACCCCTTTCAACTAGTGTCTCCATTATTTGGAAGAATGATGTAGTTCCTAAAATGTTGTGCTTGATCGTACTAGTATGTGCCATAACCACTGATATTGATAAATGTAATTATTCTTTCCAGATTTCATTTTTCCAGAATTAAAACCTCATTTATTCCCAGAAATGGAGACCTAACAATACTAAGGGTATTCTCTCCACTCTTGGATTCCTGCTTTAACAATGTTCTACTAGTTCAATTATCTTTTTTTTTTCATGCTGTTCTTTGAAGACCATGGATGACCCAGATAAGCTGTTGAAAGCATATATATATTTAAAAAAGAACAGTTACAAGAATATCTTTCTTTCCCATACTCAAGTGAAAAATTCTGCTAAACACTAGCGCATATAAGCTTTAACATGTGTCTGTCTGTCTGTCTGTCTGTCTGTATATATATATATAAATAAATCTGGGAAAGGTAAAAGTGCATAGGTTGTGGAAGAAATGGGAAATATTACTATGGGCTTCTGGACATTTTTGTTCAGGTGAAATTAAAGAAAGGGGGGGCAGGAAACCAGTAAAGCAACATATGTGAATTCATTAAGATATTAACAACTCATTGCCACTGTTGCTATGGTAATATAAGCTGCAACTGATGGAAAAAAATAAAGCAATTGCTTTTACAAAAATGCCTAATAAGAATAGTTTCAGTCAGCTACCACCATCAGTAACAATTAAGCATATAGACTCCAACACAGAAGAAAATGGTATATTAGCAGGCTGAAATTAATTCTGACAAACTGTTAAAAACCTCTGCCAATTAATCATACAAATTAATTAAGGGCTTTAATGAACTGAACTGGCATGAATATGCAAGTGAGTAAAAGAACAGTTTAATGAAGAGAACACTCTCCTTTAGATGATACATGCAAACAGAACAGCAGGAGCCATCTTAGAAGGTGTGCTGAGAAGAAAGTAAAATAGGAAAAATATATTTGTTAAGCAAGGATTAACTTTTGCCCATTCTACGATGTAGTATTGGGGATGTTAAGTTAAATGAAGTCAGGGCTCAACCAGTTAAGATCCTTACTTGGAAAGAGACTGAGCAAAATTGGGCTTAAAGTAGTTTGCCCCAACATTGTCTTCAAACACAAAATCAAAATGTAATTGAGATTGAGATATAACTCTTTTAAAAAAATAATTCTAGCTTCTGTCTGTCTATCTCTTGGGGTGTTCGGTTCAGATGGGAAAAAGAGACCCACATAAAAGACTGGCATTAATATCAGTAAAGATGGTCAGTTAAAATTCACTAAATGGACACCAGAGATCAGCATTATTACTTTATTGCTTGGAGAATATCAGAGGATTTAATTAAAGTTGCCAGATCTGTTTAATGTCTAATTTCCATTCAGGACATATCACATAATCCATTGTCTCACTTTATACGGCCACTGGGAGTCACAACTTAAGGATTTACACCAGGCATTTCTAAAACTCTAATACTTTTCCAGTGAAGGAGACAGAATCATTTGCTCATCTTCCAAAGCTATATATATATTCTGCTAATAATTCTATTTATAGAGTAGTTTTTGTACAACAGAATCAGCAGACACAAACCTAATATCATGAACAGCAATATCTAGAATCAAGTGGGAGAAACCTTTGACTTCGAAAGGAACCCTGCTTCTGACATGAAACCTGCCATTCACTACTAGAAAAATTGCAAAGGAAGACTACAATTGGGATAAGGAACTGTTGAACTAGAACAATCAATCAAGAATCTGACACTATCCATTTACATTTGATTACAAATAGCTGTTTTCTATTCACTATAGTTATTAATTAACTTGTCAGGTTAGGGTGGCTGGACTGCCACTTAATTGCTGTGCCTGTTAATTGTTATTTTGCTTCACAGAATTATCACAAATGCTACATCATGCACGGCACCAATTTTATGTATGTATGTATGTATGTATGTATGTATGTATGTATTCATTTTTTTCTGCATCATCACATTTATACTGTACCACTGAATTTGGAATGTTCCACAGCATTTTACTATGTTACAATATAATGAAAATAAGTATATCTTTACCTGATAATATGAAGAACTACAAAAAGCCCACAGCCTTAAAATTATATAAAAAAGCAACAGATGCTTTATATAATATATGATATATATATATATAGTCCTGCTAACTAATTGACAGAATTGTGCTGTAATAAATATATTAGTCTGCCAAATGCTGCAATACTTTGTTTTTAGGTAAGAAATGTAAAGGCTTTTCCTTTTTTGTTCTCTTTGCTCCTCATTAAAAATTTACAAAATGCATCCAGACTTCCTATTCTACACCACATTCTCCTTCTATATTATTATTTACACATTATTCCTATGAGCAAATATAGATTTGTTTCTCACTGTTCTTCTAGAAGTCATTATGGAAACCATTTCAGCATTAGAGAAGGTGAAAAATGTTTTGAAGAAATAAACTAACTTCCACTGAGCTCCATATGAAAAAGGGATAAGACAGTAAAGTATATTTTGCACTGGCTTGGCTGGGATCAATTTGGCTCTACCAGTCTCTCCATTAGAAGCTACTGAACTGACTCACTGTGGCAATTATCATATGTAGGAATTGTTAATAAGCTGGTTTTCTTCTTCTATGCTTTTGTCCCTTTTACATCAATGTCTGTAGACTTGGACTTTTGCATAGTTCCCTAATTTTGGTACAAAAGCAAATGATTCCCCCAACTTGCTAGTTGACAAACTGAGGAGACATTTTCCTTCGTAACCTGTCCTGAATTTAATAGCATGCTGGTGTAGTTCACATACACTTTCCTATCCATTATCCATATTTTCAACAGAATAGACACGCCTGGGAATTCTATAGAAATGTTCAGTATTAAAAGAAGATCCACTTGCAACTTTTATTCCTACAATTTTGGCAAAGAATAAAAATATTTTTTGTTCTGCCAGACTTTTAAATACAACCAGTATTAGCATCTACATCTGACAGCAGTATTGATTTTATTATTAATCTAAGTGGAATACTGCAGTGGCTATTTGTTTAGCATATTAATAATAACTTTCTTCCAGTTTAGCTTTTTTGCAATGTAAAATTTATGTTGGAAATATGGAATATAAATTAACTAAACAAATGGGCCTATGACTTGCTTGACCTCAGAATTAGGCTCCTATTGTGAGGAGTTTCTGAACTATGGAAACAGATGAACAACCAAACAGAAAAGAAAGGAGGCATGGGAATACAGAAATTGGAATTATGTAAGCTTTTTCCTTAGCCTTTATGCAGCTCAAAACCAAACGAAATCTCTAGTCATGTAAAAAGAAACCATGAGAATAGATGAAACTAGCAAGGGTAGCCCTCTCATAATCTGGTCTGAATATCTACATGGAAGGGGAAAATTTGCTGTTAGCACCAGCAGCATAATTGTTTTTTCCCCAGGAATTTTGGACCAGTATGGTATAACATATTCCACCATCAGCCATGGAAACTCACTGAGTGAGTTTGTACCATTCGCCCTTTCAGTCCAATCTATCTCACAAGGGTTGTTGTCAAGAAGACAAAACGGAGGTATTAATGTACACTAACTTGTGTTCCTGAAGAAAAATCAGGATATAAATGTAATAAAGAAATAAATGCCATATTCCATGGAATATTTCCTTGGAATAAGTACTACTTTGCCACATATTTAAACTTGTTGCTATTTATAGTTGCCAGCTATCACAGTTACTTCCAAAATTACCTTCCTCACAATTCCTCATAAAGAGGAACAACCTTTTCATGAGAGAACTGTAATGAAGAGTGAAATATTCTGGAAATATAGACAGTGCAAAGTGGGCTGGAATGGAGGAATAATGCAGTATCTTGTACCACTCCTGAGTAAAATGCTGAAAAAAAAATCAGGCAGAACGAAGCTGAATTATCAAGCAAATTAACTTGCAAACAAAGCCATTACTAGAACTGTATACCATGTTAAGAAATTCAAATGGGGCAAGTTTCAAAAAATTCAGTATATCTACTCTGATCCAAATTTCCTGTGAGTTTTTAAAATACTCAAAAATTACATTTTAAAAGAAAATTTGGTGTTCAGTTAACAAGGGGATTTTTAATTGACTTTTCCAACAAATGAACTGATAAAGTATTAGTGTTCTAACTAAAACCTGAGAAGCAAGGTTTTACCAATTTATGAGAAAAAGATAATTATCATTTTCTAGTGTTTTTTTTTAAATACAATATTTAGGGAGATGGCCAATCCCCTTCTAGATGCCTTTAGATATCCATACAATTTGAAGATGCAATCTATTTTCATTTTAAATTTTCTTGTATTTTAGATTTTGAAACAAGAGAAATATTAATGACCATAAAGTGTGAAGTGTGCTACAAACCCAAGTCAATCAATAAGTAAAAACAGCTTCAGTCACAAATCACCAGTTGCTCTCCAAGAGAGAAGACGAACAGATGGAGAGTTGTGTTCCATCTTCCACAGTAGATACTCACAAACAAACAGCCAAACACTGGTGGGATGTGTGAACTTATCCGAGGGGATGAAATCTGCTCCCATCTGCTTGTGCAGAAAAAGAGTGCCAGAAAGCAAAAAACAAAACAAAACAAAAACCCTTCCTCTATCCTGGAAGAATAATCCCCTAAAATTGTACTTACCTCTGGACCAGAGTGTCGCATGGTGACCCCTTCCTCTTTTGAGAATCCAGGTTTCCCGGGTCCGTAGAGTTGTTCCCAAGGCCACTCATATTGAGTCAATTCTCACCTGAGAAAGAAACAAAGAACATCATCAAGAAATGAAACAAGTGGAAAGTGATGGAAAACAGATAGGGAATGGTTTACACGCAGCAGCTTCAAGAAGCAAGGCTGAAGTGACCTGTTTAAAGAGGGGGAAGATTACCTAGCAGCTTCCTTTTTCTTCCACAAAACCATATCCAAATATTCACTCAATTTTAAATCGGTTCCACAAGATAGTATTTGTTTGATTTTACTTTATTAGCTATCAGCACCATTGGTTTCATCCGGACACTTTGCATACAAAATAATAGCTTCAGTCTTAACAGGACTAGGAAACAGTATGAATTATTATGAATTATTATAGTACTTTATAGCACAACTTTATATACTACCTACCTAGAAGTCAATCCTAGTCTTACTCTTACTTCCAATAAACTTTGCATGGGATTACACACAAGCTTTTTCACTATTTAATGGATTTAAATTTTATTTAGTATTTGAGAATTTAAATAGATACTACACACCAAAGAATCTAAGAAATGTCATTTTGTTCTTATCTATACAGCTAGCCCTTGACTTATTAGTTATGACAATGCTGAACGAAGAGACATGACCTATACGAAGCGTATAGCTGGCGTAATGCTTCTGGGGTTACATGGGAGATGCAAGTAGGAACAAGCCTGGCATGGCTAGCAGCTGCCTCATATACAGTAGAGTCAATAGTAGGAGGGAAACCATAAAGATAACCTGGGTGCAGAGCATTTGGCCCTTTCCAGGACGCAGTGGTTTTGTGCCAAGCTGCTAGACCAGGCTGGGACAACTGAGGCTTCCAGGAACAGTTGTCGCTTCACACTGTATTGTGGCTAAGGAGTTTCTTGCAGCCCCAGAGCTGTGGGCCCTGAGCCACAGCATATTCTTTCCACAACCTCCTTATGCTCACACACACTGCACTCCCTCCCCCAACTTGCAGGCAGGGCCTGTCCCAGGCCTCACAGAGCATCTCCCACCCCTGCGCTCCTTGCCTGGGACTGCCTCCACTTATTTAACCCACATATCTGGAATTACAACATCAACCAGGAATGCTGGGTTTGCAGTCATTACATTGCTATGGTCACATGACATTTCATTTTACAACTACATTGCTTAGTGACAGAAATTTTGCTTCCAATTTTGGTCATAAGTTGAGAACTACCTAAAAAACAATACTGATAGAAAAGATTTGGAGTGAGATGGTATCTGGGAAGGAATTTAACTCTTTTAAAAATCATAAAATAGTTATTGTTTGCAAATAAAATTTACCAGATTTGATGAACTATTTATGTCAAACAAACTTGATAGAAGAGAATATTTGTAACTCAGGGTTTGTAACTCAGAGTTAAATTATGATTATGTTATCTAGTTTGATAACAAAACATCTGAAACAAAGCTGCCAAGCTCAGAGAGCACCAAGGACCCCACAATGTGTTTTGGGGGGGAAAAATGATTCTGGTGCATTTTATTCCTTTACATGTTTACTATAAAATCAATATTTCATCTAAGCATTTTAAATTAATGTTTTTTTCTGATTTCTCCTTCAGGACTACTAATAGGCAAACATATTCAATGCTAAAAACATGAAATTAATATTCAAACTAACCAGAACACCAATATTTACACCAATATTTTGAAGACATCAGAGTAAAATCAATTTTATATTAAATGGGTATCAGTAATCAAACATGTACTTATTTGCAGCTTGGATTTTTTAAAAAGTCCATTGGATTCCGAGGACAGATTGATACTATCAAAACTGAGTAGGTAGAATAATTAAATACACAACATTTAAATCACTTAACCAATTCAAAATGATTCTTCAAGTGTTTTTGCTAAGATCTGAATCTCTATTAATAAGATGAAAGCATCTGTTGAGAGCCAGAGATTGTTTTAGCGATATTAGCATCACAAATCAATAGAAACCACACCCTTGTGCCAATTGCAATGGAAACACTGGTCACTTGTCCTAATTTATGAGGCTGACAATCAAGAAGAGAAGGACTACTGGTTTGGAACTAATGACTACAGATTTAATTTTATTCCTCCTTCCTGGCATAACTGAAGACTCATACGATGTCAGAAGAAACATAATCAGCCATGGGGGGGGGGGGGAAATGTTGGCTCTTTCAAAAACCCCAAACTGCAAAACTCATCAGCTCTAAGTACAAGAACTGTATGCTTTACATTATAAACCTGCCTTCATTTTTCTTCCACTTCCTTCACAGCCCTTACAATTGCTTAAACTGCTATTTTACATTCAGTCCTGATTCTGCTTCAACAAAACAATACAAACTTCAATCTGCAACAGCAATCATTAAGCCAATATGAAAACCTTTTGAGTTTGAGTCATGCAGGATTGAACAATAATTCAGAAAAAATCTTGAAATATCATTAACAAAATTTGGATCTTTTTCAAAAAGTTTTTTCAAGGTCAGGCCTGAAAAAATACATATGTCTCACTTTTTTGAGTCCCATTCAAAGAGAAGACAAGAAGGTAGTGACCTTGACAATCTGTCTAATAAAGTAAACGGGGGCTCTGGATAGAACTGCAGGTTTAGCTGAAATCTCTGGTTTTATTTAGCCCATTCATTAAATACAGTCAGGTATTTGTTTTTTTTTTTCTATATATAATATAAACCCAGTTTATTTTTGCAACAGCCTTTGCCAAAGCTGACAACCAAAAATAATTTAAACTATCCTAAAAATAACTCTGATGGCTCAGCTGGAAAAAATGAATCGACCCTAAGAGCTCCAAATGAATTGCCCGACTCTAAAGGTGAGTCTTGATGCATGAATGGTAGAGGTAACTGAATATTTGCAATTTTGCATACTAACAAACTGCACTGTCCTTGTTCCAGATTCCATTTCTATGATCTAGGATTTTGCCTTGCTCATTGGAAACAGGAATAAAATAGGAGAGAACAACCAGATAATTATTTATTTTGGGAGGATGGGAAAGAAATGAACAATAACGAATCCTGAAATGCTTTGCCTATTGGCTGAGATAATATTTTGTCTGTCAAAAGAGATCCAGAACACAAAGTGCAGAGGTCCCCAACCTCCCGTCTGTGGACTGGCACTGGTCCGTGGCATGCCAGAAACCGATCCACATACACAAGCAAAGCCCCATCCGCGGGATGCAGGCAGTACAGGAAACCATGCCCCCTCCGATCCGTGGTCCCTCAAAAAGTTGAGGCCCTCTGACCTAGTAGAAGAGCTATTCCATATGAATATGGGAAACTTGGGATCTGTTCAACTTTAAACCATTTTACAGGGCTGCCTCTGGACAGGCAGAGCCAAGAGAAGCTATGTAATTGAGAAAGGCAGTAGAAGAATGGTGGGATATTTTGCATAATGAACCCCAAAGTGGACAAAGATATGACTGTAGGCTCAGCATACCTCATTAAAATAATGTGTTTTTACAACCCTGTTTGGGAGTCAGAAGTAAACCAATCAAAGTGATATAACTAAGACTTTCTTTCTCTATGTCTATGGAGATGCTCAGTCATCCAGGTCATGGTTGTCCCAAAGGTGCTTTTCAGGAGACAACTGGACTTTCTTGTTTTTCTTTGAAGACGTTTCACTTCTCATCCAAGAAGCTTCTTCAGCTTTGACTGGATGGTGGGGAATGGAAAGATTTCTATTCCTTGCAGACAACTGGTCATCTGCATTCTTTCAGAGAGTCATTGAAGCCATTTGGAAGTTTACCTGTGTCCTAAGGGTTACCTGAGTAATGCAAATGTGTGTGGAGCCTTCTTAGCTGCAGGATGTTTTCTGTCCTGTGTCCCTTTACTGTTGAAGACAGGAGCAGGCTGTTTCTTTCTCCATGTACTCCAATTTGCTTTCCTCTAACATAATCAAATGAATGGGAAGGGAATAATATTTTTTGAGGGCTTATCTGCTCCTTCTTACTCCTATCTGTGGGGCAGTCTTAATTGTTTGAAGGCATTGCTTTGAAGAAATGACTTCTGCTCAAGTGCTTCAGTCAGGGAAATCTCCTTTAGGACACCGATACTGACATCTAAATTCTGCTGAAGATGTTACCTAGCCTGGGTAATGAAACATTTGGAAACCAACCCACAAGAAAACGAACCTCTACCCTCAACCTATACCCGTGCTACAGATATTTGTCACTATCGCAAATCTCCTTTAGTTGTTGAGGTGATTGAATTGACAGCCAACAGTTTTTTCTCAAGTGTTTCTTTCAAAGACTCTTGAATCTACAACTAGTTGCACTAAAACCAATCAGCAAGAAATCAGAAGAAATGGGTAGAATCTATAGGAAGTGAGAAGTCAAATTAAGGAGCTGCTACTAAAACAACAGATGCTTAAGTTCTTTTTTCAAAAGTTGTTATTTATTGTTCTGACAGCTGTCATCCAAATGCTTCCCATCTGAGAAAGTGCAGGCAAAATCCCAATTAAAAGTGGTCAAGAGCACATTTAGCAAACCGAGACGTTTGAAGCATTTCTCTCTTTTATCCTGCAAACTTGGGACTTCTTTCTTTATTTTTTTTTTACTTCTGCAGATTACAAAATAGTGAAACCACCTGTTGATGCAGAGAGGAAATAATGAATCATTAAATAAACTATGAGCCAGAAATTGCATGACTGTGATTTGATTTTGTAAGTGAAATTTTCTGTCTTTGACTTCTCATTTGAAAGAAAATGTCAACAGGCCATGTCAAGCCAGTTCCACCCACCCATTAACAGCCAAAGAAAACAAGCACAACACTGCCTGGGGGCCCACTGGAGAAACAGCAGGAATCCAGAGATCCCTCTGTCATTGCATGGGCAAAGAATGCATGCCTCCATGCCAAAGTCTGCTGGTGTTTTCATCTCACCTGTTCATCTCCAGCAATTTATTCTAACAACAGCATAACACAGAGTCTGTCTTCCACAAAACCTGACACTGCCTCTTGACTGACACTTCCCAAATAATTTCCTTGTTCTGGCCTGTTAACTCCTGATTATCATGAAA